TAGATGTGGTAAACATAAGGATTATAAAATGCAAATAAAACTGATTGCAAACTGAAACTGCACATCTTCCAAGAGCTGTAGGACTTGGTGAAGTCCCTGAAAGTAATGATAGAGAAATCCTTGCATCACCTGCAGCCTTATGCCAGTTGACAAATGGAAAGGGAAGTCAGCAGGACAATGATATGTACAGATGTGAGAAGCAAAGGATTTGCATAGCAAAAATTAAATTAGGCCCTTGGGAAACGTGATAAAGCCCAGGAATATTTTGGTAAAATTGACCCTTACATATTGCTAAAGTAAGACAGGAAATAAAGTATCAGAGTGTTTGGGGGAGATATACCAATAAAAAAAAAAGTTGATGCTTTAAGTGGTTCTTTGATTATTCTAAGAATTGGCAGATAGCTGCCATTATAACTTAAATTTCATTAAATATAATATTTTCATAATTTTCATCTCATTTTTTTAAAGATTGCACATATCTTTTTTTCCCACTAATTTCCTGTGAAAAATTTCCTGTGGTTTCTGGCGAGGTTTTTTTTGGCTATAATTAACCGAAAACCCTGACTCAAAATGCATTATTTCTTAGCCCAGAGAAGGTGATTGTTTCAGTGGCCCAGGCTTTTCCCTTCTTTCCACTCTGCCATCCTCAGGTCTCAGCTTTGCCCTCAGGATGGCTCGCCACATGGCACAAATGTAGGAGTCACATCCAGAAGAAAAAGCCTGCCTTGGTTTCCTGCAGATTTCCTATCATGTTTCTTTGTGCAGAATTGGGCCAGTATCCATGGCCATTCCTAATGAGATTAACTTAATTCGCTTAGAGTAGCCCCGAAGCACTTAGCTATATGGGAGAGGAATGGCAACCCGAATATAATTGGCCTTCAGTTAGGAAGGAAGGAAGGAGGGGGCTAAGGGATGTTGGGTTGGCCACCAACCAATCCTGCTACAGCCTTTTTTTTTTTAATTGAAGAATAGGTGATGTACAATATTATATAAGTTACAGGTGTACAATGTAGTGATTTACAATTTTCAAAGGTTTTACTCCTTTTATACTTATTATAAAATATTGGCTATATTCCCCATGTTGTACAATATATCCTTGTAGCTTATTTATACATAATAGTTTGTACCACTTAATCCCCTACCCCCTATATTTTCCCTCCCCACTTCCCTCTACCCACTGTTAACCACTAGTCTGTTCCCTTTGTCTGTGAGTCTACTTCTTTTTCGTTATATTCACTAGTTTGTTGTATTTTTTAGATTCCACATATAAGTGATATCATACAGTAGTTATCTTTCTCTGTCTGCCACAGCCTTTTAAATGAATTCACTTTTAGTGGTACTGATTATTCTTGGATCAGGTACTGATTATTCATAGATCAGTACTCTTGTTATTTCTATATTTATAGATAAGAACTGGAGGCTGAGAGGAAGTGAAGTGACTTGTCCAAGTTCACATAGCTAAGTGGTAAAGCTGGAATTTAAACTCAGATCTTCTGGCTCCAGAGTCTTGTTCGTAACTCAGGTTATGTTGTCTAAAATGGCTTGACTCCACCTGTAAAAATTCTGTTCATTGCTCAAGGTGCAATTTACATGCAACAAGGACACAAATCTTATGTGAAATTAATCAAAAGCTTTAGATCTGTTCCAATCCCTATAGTCAGGGTAAATCACTCTTTATTCAATTATAGATATATTGCTTGTACCTCTATTTAACGATTCACTTAGTTTTGGCTTTACTGGCCATCTGTGTAATAATCTCTCTGCTCCCTAGACTTTGAGAGTAGAGACTATCTAATTTGTCTCTGCAGCCTTCTGAGCAGCTAGTATAGTGTTTGGTATATAGTAGGACTTAGTAGATGTTTGAAATTAAACAAAGGACTTGTCCAAAGTTATAGTTAGTAATAGTGCTGGGATAGAAGCCAAGTCACCTGACAGAACTCTCCCAGTGGTCTTCCTAATGTGCTACTCATGTTAAACGGAGAATTTTCTGTGTCATGCAATCACTCATTTAATGTTCATTCAGGGTGTGTGTTCAGAGCACCTAGTCTGTGCCAGGTGCAGTGCCAGGCACTGGGAGTACACTGGGGGCACAGTCCAGGTAGAGGAAATAAACATGTACAGAGAACATTGAAAGGAAGCAAGACTGGCTGACTCCCTTCTTCCAGATCCTGCCTGAGCACACTTGGATGTCAGCACTAAGGGAGATTCAGAAAAGTGTAAAACCCCATCCCTGTCTTGAAGAGAGTCTGTGCTTTCACCTGGAAGATAGAAATAAATACAGATTAAAATTACTACAGTGCTCAAAGAATTCTTACAAAAGATTTGTGTATTTCACTGTGTGTAAATTATACTCAATACGAGAGATTAAGGGAAGCAGTGGAATTCCCTGGCGGTCTGGTGGTTAGGACTTGGCACTTTAGTGCTGAGGGCCCGGGTTCAATTCCTGGTCAGGGAACTAAGATCCTGCAAACCGCATGGTGCAGCCAAAAATTTTTTATATTAAAATTAAAAAAGATTAAGGGAAGCAGGAAAACATAACAGAGGCTTTAACCTAGTACCCTTTAAGTTTGACGTGCATGGTGCACGTCACGCACCAAACAAGGACAGTATGTTTAGAGATCTTTAAGGAAGTTATTGAACCTGAACAATCAAAGCATTGAGGGTCAAGTTGAGGAGGGTAAAAATGAGAATTCAGAGAGGGAGAAGTATTTTGAAAGAAGACAGGCAACATAATGGTTAACTACATAGACTGTAGCCAAGCAGGCTTGGTTCAAATCCCAGGTCGTCCAGTTTTAGCTGGAGGATTAAATCCCAGATTCTCATCCTTGAGAAGCTCTTTAAGCCTGTTGCCTCATCTGTAAAATATGGATGATGGAACCCTTTTCTTAATGTAAAAGGATGCATGTAAGGGGCTTACATGTAGGCTGGCATATAATAATTCTTAATATATATAATAGTGGGAAGAAAGAATTTAAAAGACTTACCACACTGGATATAGACATGGAGAAGGGGGAATTAAAAAGAATGCCAATGTCTCCACCCTGGGAGGTGCAATCATTAATAGAACCAGGAAAGGTGGAAAGAGCTTTATGGTTGGCACTCACCAGTATCTTTTTTTTGGAAAAAAAGAGATAGGTTAACAAGCATATACTATGAACACGTAAAGTCAATATAAAGTGATGAGCTAAGATCTGTGCTAAGATGTTGAGCCAGCAGAAGGGTAGGGCCCAATCTGAGGGCTTGGGGGAGGCATCCTAGGAAAGATGGTAGTTGCACGTAGTCCTGAAGGATGAGTTAGCTCTGAGATGAAGACAGATGGGTAGGGCATTCCAGACAGAAAGACAACCCGAGCAAAGGCATAAAGGTGAGACACAGTGTAGTGAACATGGGAAGTGGTAGACAGTTTGTCTTTCTAGGGTACAATAAACAAGACAGTTGGGACAGCGGAAAACAGGCGGAGGAGTTAGGCAGAGGCTACACCGCGGTCACCCCTCGCTGGCCTTGCCGTGCTACTGGGCTGCTCCCTGAGCTGGGGACGGTGTTGCCGCCCTGGCACTGCGCACACCACAAGTGCAGGCATTTTCAGCCTCAGGCCCCTCCGCCCTGTTATTTCAGGCGTGACATCCTATTTTTCTAAGCTTGCCCCACAGGATGAGCAAACAGGACCAGCTGGGCCAGAGTGTTTGGAAGGGGGTTGGTGAGATGCCCAGGCTGTGTCATGTCATGCCAGGGGCTGAGATTTCCCCCCCCCTTCCCCAATCTTTGGGTTAGGACACTGTCTGAGGAGGCAGGGGTGTGACCCGTCCCGCCCACCTGTGGTCCATCACATCTTTGACAAGCATGTGCTGAAGGAGCAGCAGTGGTGTCAGGTGCTTGGAATACACTGAGGACTGACTTGCTCTTGCCACTTGAAAACAACCCCATCCAATTGGAAAGACACTGCATAAATGCCCAAGAAAAGGTCACAAGGCTTAGGAGCTGTAGTAACAGTAGATGACTTTTATTTAGAATAAATGAAAGGCTGAACCAGGCTCTGGGCTAAATCTGATGTCTGTGGCTTATTTAATTCTCATAACAACCCTAATTAGTTTCATTTTATGATGGGGAGTTGTGCAGTTACTCTGCACACAGAGAGGTAGAGTAACTTGCCCAAGGTCAAACGGCTTCTGAGTGGTAGAGCCTGGATTCAAATCCAGAGCGTCCAGTGGTTATCCACTGTTCAACCACTACCGCTACCCAGAAAATCTGCTAAGCCTTTTCCTTTAAATAAATGCTATGAATCTGAAGTAAGGACCAATTACTGTGGCTTGAGGGCCTCCATAAAGGTTTCCTGGAGAAGGTGGGGCCTGATTTGGGCCTTGAAGCATGGGTTGAATGAGGATAGGAAGGGGAAAAGAGCAGATATTCAATTTAATTACTGTTCTCCTTTGAATCAGCACTTTCAGCCTAGAATGGCAAAGTTAGCAGGATCCTAAAGATCATCTAGCCCAGGGGTTCTCACTCTCTTAGGATGTGGACATTTTTCTTTAAGTCAGTGGTGAACCCAGATCCCAGATATACCCTAAGCCCCGAGGCCTCTTTTATTTTTGCTGCCTAGGGGAGAAGGCAGAGGAGGCAATGGCTCCCTAAAGGCAGGAATGAAGGGGCCCCTTTAAACAGTGAGTAACCAGCTCTGCTGCTGCCTCTTATCTGTTTTCCCTTGTATCTTTGCCTCAGATCGAATTGTTGACAACTACAGATGGGAAAATGAGAGTAAATAAAAGGAGTTGGGGCTTAGAACTTCTGTAGATGAACATGAAGGGTGTTTTAGTTGGATGGGGTCTTGAAGAAAAACCTGAATACTTTGGGACTGGAGAGAAAACGTAAACCTTTCCTACTTCCTGTATTGCACTGTGGTCTCCCGGAAATGTATCAGCCGCTATAAGTCCCTGCAGGGCGTTGACTTGTAAGGGAAAGGGGGTGGTCAGCACCTTTTTCATTTTCACCTCTGCCTTCCCTAGATATGTGCAGGTGAAATTTGTCTGTATTCGGACCCAGTCAAACAGGAAGAGAACAGCAGCGGCAGCTATGTGCCCAGCATACTTGCTCCTGCGGTACAATGAGAAACTGGATAGACTATTTATCAGTGAACTCAACACACAGCATATACACGTTGACTCCAAAACCGCGGGTCCTAGAGGAGACGCCACTGGCAAATCTCAGAAGAAACTCCAGCCTGCACAGCCCACGATCAACAAAGACCTTGGCACAGCTGAGAAGTCCCTGTCTGAGCCATCATTTTGCTTAGATAAGGTCCAAACACCCTCAAAGCCAGAGCAGGAGGGCATCACTCCTTCTGACCTGGCCAAGATAGCCAAAGTGATGAAGAACTTTCTTAAGGTGGATGTGGGTTCCATGGCCTCCTTCAGTGTGGGCAGCAGCCAAGACCTGGACAGGCTCAGCTTCCAGAGCAGCAAGATGAGCGACCTCTTCATCCGCTTCCCTGAGAGTCTCTTGCTGCACCGGGTGGAGAATGCCCAGGGCCACATCCTCTATGCTTTCTTGGTGGAGAGCAAGGAACGAGAGGGGCGAGTGGTACACTTTGCGGTGCTCAAGGCCGAGACAGCCACCTCCGTGGCCAAGATGCTGAGTGTCTTTACAGAGTTCAACTCAGATTGGCCCAAGGTCAAGGTGGTCTTCGTGGACCCGTCCTTCGCGCACCGAGCCATCCTGCAGGAGATCTTCCCTGCTGCCCGCATCCTCCTCTCCATCTACCACACGACCCGACTCTTGGAGAAGAAGTTGCGCCGTCGCGCAGCGGAGCCGTCCTCTAAAAGGCTCATGAAAGAAGCCCTGCGGGAGGCCGTGTTTGTCACTTCTGAGGCCAGCCTGCAAAATCTCTGCCAGATGTCCCAAGCCCTGCTCAGTGAGCAGCTCTTCAGCTTCCTTCAGGCCCACTGGTTCTCCTGTGAACTGCTGTGGTACATGCACGTCAGGAAGGGCCTGCACGCCTGTAACACCTACATGGACAGCCTGGACGTCGTCACCAGCAAGGTGTCGAGCCTCTTCCGGGAACAGCAGTCCCTGCTGGACTGCATCCTCCGCTTTGTGGATTACATAGACTTCTTTAACACCAAAGGCTTGAAGAACTTTCCCACTGCTACCCCCAGGTTAAAGAGAGCCCGGTCAGCAAGCAAGGCACCAAAGTCCAAGAAGGCTTCTGGAATCTGCGGAGGGAGCTTCGTCAGGCTGCCCATGCAAGAGGCACAGCCAGAGCCGCAGCAGGTGCAGGCGCCTCAGCAGCAGCTCCAGGGGCAGCCCTCCCAGGGCGGCATGCTAGACTCCTTACTCCAGAGTGGCTCCGATCTGGCCTACAAGCTGTGCCACAATGAGTGGGCGGTGGTGCAGAACTCCACGCACCTGGTGGACATGGCTGGCTGTTCCGTGGACGTGCAGCTGCTAGAGGACTCCCACCAGGCGAGCAAGGACGGCTGCAGCTGCAGCTGCTCCTTTCAACAGCGGTACCACCTGCCATGCCGGCACATTTTGGCCCTGCTGCACACCAGCCAGAGGCCCGTGGGCGAAGCCATGGTGTGCCGCCGGTGGCAGAAGAGGTACCAGCACCTTCTCGGGCCCAGCGGGGAGCTCCGGGACCCTGTCCTGATACCGAACGCAGGCCAGCCAGGGGAGAAAGGACGGAACGACATGATTCAGGACCTAAGCAGGGAGCTCGCGAACCTGCTGATGCAGAGTGAGGGACCAGAGCTGGAGGAGCGCTATTCCACCTTGCGCAAGATTGTGGACATCTGGGCGGCCTCCTGCCAGCCTCCTGAGCCCAGTCAGCAGCCAGGGGACTTCAAGGATGTGGGCCGCCTCCCTTTCCTCTGGGGAAAGCAGGAGGAAGGGGAGGGACTCGCTCCTCCTGGAGCCACAATTCACCATTGAAGCACCTGCACCGGCGCAGTGGGCCACAGACACCTTTCCCTGGAAGTCTGAGAGCTCAAAGCAGGCAGGACATGCTAGGTGTCAGCGTTTTAACCAATGTCTTCCTAGGTAGGGTGAGGAACATTGTTCCAACAGGAAGAAGAACCCCACTGTGTGACAGTCCTTTGAATCTACCCCTTTTCTGCCCTGCCTTTGACTTTCCTCGGGAGCCTCATTCGTTGTTCAAGGCCAAAGTTATCTCCATGCTGAAGGGTCGTCCCTCATTCTCCCTCAACCCCTGAATTTAGATCTTATCCACTATATAGAGATGAAACCCTGCCCCAGGTTAGGGTGAGATAAAACGGACCTGATAGAAGAGCCTGGTTTCAGGGACGAAAGGAAGGAGGGTGATCCTTGGCTTTTGCTGCTCTTTACAAAGAATTTGTTATTTGTACCTATTTTTATTCATATTAAAGTTTTTGTTTTATTTTTGTTTTTTAAATAAAATCAAAGAAGCAGGAGAAATGCGTTCTGCCTGAACAGGGAAGGAATCGGATGGGGGTTGTGGAACCACATGGAGCCTGACGCCTCAGATTCAATGAGTAGCAATCGGCCCCTTACTTCACTCTCTTCCTGCAACCAAGCCTTCAACATTGATTTCAGGCTGCCTCATATTCTAGCAGGAAGAAGCCAAATAGATTGGGAGGGAAGAAACCTGGGTCTGAGACTTGACTGCCCTCAACTTGCTGGGAGACTGTGGGCAAGTCCCTAATTTCTTTGACCCCAGTTTCCTCATCTGTAAAAATTAGTGTGTTGGCTTGTTCTAATTCCAATTTACCCTCTAGATTCAAGGCAGTTTTAAGCACCAACACAGACTTTTGTTGTTGGTAGTTTGCAGTCTTAATCACCTAAAGCCTGGTAGCCACCCAGCTTTCCAAGAGCCATCTTCGGGGGAACCGAGGTCAAAAGATGACCTTAACAGTCACAGCGCTGTGCTGGAGCTCGCCTGCAAAATACTGGAGGGGGTTGGGCTGGGAAACACCGGAGTTCAGCTCTCTCAAGATCTGGGTCTCTTTAATTCCAAGAGTTGGGCCCCTTGACCCCTGTTGGAGAGGCGGAATTTGAGACCTGGCCCTCAGTTTCCCCATAAGGCAGAAGACACTGTACCATTCATTACATAGGCACCCCTTCCTACCCTCCTGGGGTTTTGTAATTTGACCAGAGAAGAAAAAATCCGTGCAACACTGCTATTTATTTTTTCTTTTTTTGGCTTCGGAGGGAGTTTCCATAGTAACGCACCCTTCCTGTGTTCTTCCCACACGTGAGGCTCCAAAGTTTCAGCCTCAGTGCTCAGACTTCGCCAGGATGCTAGCGTCTTCAAGCTTTCATTGGTTGTCGCCAGCCGGGCCCCTCGTATCTCTGGTAACGGCACCCGCCCACGAGTCGTCGGGCTACGGTTGGTCGGAGCGCCAAAGACCGGAAGCAAATTCCTCAGGCAATTGGCCAGAGTCACGGCGAAGCTGGCGCCGCGGTTGGTGAGCCCAGAGGTCAGTCAGAGTCAGAGTCAGGGTCAAATAGGGAGAAATGGCGACGGAGCCAAGCTGTGGGTGAGTAATTTCTGAAGGGGTGGAGGTGTGAGGCAGCTGGTGACCGCAGTCACCATGACACAGCTCCCAAAGGGGTGGGAGGTTGACTTCTCTTCTGGCTCCGGCCAGACTCCGAATGGGAATGTCAGACATCCACATCCTCCCACCCGGGTTAGAGGTGAGAGGTCAGAGGCCACATCCTCTCTCTGTCTCTGGTTTGTGAACCTCAGGTACCGTGGAAAGCAGCCAGAATCCCGAGCCAAAGACTCAACTTCCAGCTACTTATAAAGTAATGGTGGGTACGTCACTTAACCTCTTTGAGCCTCAGTTTCTCATCTGTAAAATGGAGACAGTAACCCGGTTTGGGGGCTAAATAGAGGAAACATGTGAACATAGTATAGCAGTTAATAGAGGGATTTACGTAGAGGGAGAAGAGACTATGAACATTTGTTAATCCTGTTTTATGGCTGAAGGGATTGAAGCTCAGAGAGGTCACTGACTTGCCCAAGATCACCCAGCAAGTTTGGGGCAATTGCAGTTCTCTTGTATATACCAGGACCAATGAAAGAATGGAGGCCAAGAAGTAATTTGTAAATATAAAGTGCAATACAGATATTTAAAATGCTCTTTAAGGGGGAAAAAAAAAAAAAGGCAGCTCTGGCCTTCACACTCATTTAAATCTCATGGAACCAAATCTTTCCATGCTGGCTTCTTATCAAGTAGCTCTCAGCTCCAAGTCATCCTCCCACTACCCCCCAGAGAGGACTTCACTGGTTACTTTGGCTAAAGTATCCTTCCCTCCTCCAGCTTACTATTACCCTGTTTTGTGGTCTTTGTAAACTTCATTATCTGATATATTCTTGTTTGTTTACATGTTTATTGTGTATCCCCCAGAACAGTGCTGATACATAGTATCAGCAATAAAATTTGTCTGGATGCATAATTGAAGAGTCAAGCCCCTACTGTCTCCTTAAACCTCTGTTCCTCTCCATAGGCCCATCTTTGGAGCAAGATCTGGGAACTACAGTCCGGCCTCAAGCCTCAACTTAGTTGGAGCTTGAGAGAGAGTGAGAGCCTTCCATACAGCAGCCTCGCAGAGCAGATATTTTGACCTTGGCATCTAGACATCTCCCATCTCCCCCATGGCCCTGACAATGCTGAATGAGCTCCTGATTGAGGACCCAAGCCCACCTCTGCTGCTCTATCAGCTTAGCAAGACTGCCCAGCTAGATGCCCTCAACTATCAAAGCTGCTTTATGCAGGGGGTCTTTGCCCATTTTCCTGAAATCTTATTTATCCACCGGACCTATAACCCAAGGGGCAAGGTGTTATATACCTTCCTGGTGGATGGACCTCAGGTGCAGCTGGAGGGTCATCTTGCCCGGGCAGTCTACTTTGCCATTCCTGCCAAGGAGGATGCTGAAGGCTTGGCCCATATGCTCCAGGTATTCAAGAAGTTTAACCCCGCATGGGAGAGAGTCTGTACCATCCTGGTGGATCCCCACTTCCTCCTGCTGCCCACCCTCGCTATGGAGTTCCCCACAGCTGAGGTCCTGCTCTCAGCCTTCCACATCTGTAAGTTCTTCCAGGGCAAGTTCTATCAACTGTCCCTCGAACAGCCCGTGGAGAGGGTCCTCCTGACCTCCCTGCAGAGCACGATGTGCTCGGCCACAGCTGGAAACCTGAGGAAATTGTATACACTCCTGAGCACCTGCATCCCGCCGGCCCAGCTGCCGGAGCTCCACTCACACTGGCTGCTCAACGACCGCATCTGGTTGGCCCACCGCTGGAGAAGCCGAGCCGAGAGCAGCCACTACTTCCAGGGCCTGGAGGTCACCGCCCACGTCCTCAGCCAGTTCTTCGGCACCACCCCATCTGTGGAAAAAGGCATGACTGCCCTGTTCCGATACCTGCGGCAGAACTCAGGAGACAAGGCGAGTTTCAGCCTGGGCCTGAGTCCCCCGAACAATCATCCCCCTTCGGATGGCAGCCCCGAAAGCCCCGAAGTGGAACAGTTGGTAGAAGCCCGCATCCAATACTCCCTTAATGCCATCTGCACAGGGCCGGCCGCCCAGCTCTGCCTGGGCGAGCTTGCCGTGGTCCAGAAATCCATGCACCTCATCGGCTCTGGTTCCGAAAAGGTGAACATACAGATCCTGGAGGACACCCATAGGGTGCAGCCCCAGACCCCGGCCAGCTGCAGCTGCTACTTTAACCAGGCCTTCCGTCTGCCCTGCCGCCACATCCTCACCATGCTCAGTGCCCGCCGCCAGGTGCTCCAGCCAGACATGCTGCCAGCTGAGTGGACGGCAGGCTCTGCTGCCAGCCTCGGTGACATTGTGGGCAGCAAGTGGAGTGAGACCCTGGATAAGCACTTGGCCGTGGCGCTCCTCACGGAGGAGGTGGGTCAGCTCCTGCAGCACTGCAGTCAGGAGGAGTTTGAACGGCGGTACAGCACCCTGCGTGAGCTGGCCGACAGCTGGATCGGCCCTTATGAGCAGGTCCAACTCTGATTACGCTCGACGCCCGGAGGAGCTCATCCGCAAAGTATCTGCTCACATCCCCCCTACACACACCCACACACACATTCACACAGTCGTACTTCCGCGGGCCCTCCTTCCAGGGACGAAGGACAAAGCTTTCCTCTTCCACTGCAGCCTGCTGCCTACTATGTGTCTAGTTCCCTAAGACAGGAGGCGGCAAACCTTTCCCATAAAGGGCCCGCTAGTAAATATTCTAGACTTGCTGGCCACTCAGAGCCTCTGTTGTATATTCCTGGCTTTTTTTTTTTTTTTTTTTTCCCCTTTTTAACAACCTTTTCAAAAGGTAAAAACCGTTCTTAGCTCAAGGGCTTTATAAAAACAGGTAACCCCTGCTCTAAGATAAGGGATAAGACACTGAGTGGAGATCAAGGGTTGGGACTTGGTAACAGCTTCCCCAGTCATGAGATGACACCTCACCCACAGAGGAAAAGGCCCCCAGAGGCAGCGGCTCAGCCAGGCTCCCAGCCTCACTGCCCCTCACCCTGCCCCATCCTGAGGTCATTAAAGTTGAATGTTGTCTGTTTTAGCATTTGTCTAGGTTTTTGTCTTGTAGAAAGCAGTTTAGGAAGTACCATGGAAAGAATAGACTTTGGAGTCTGACATTCTGTGCAAATCCTGGTATCTTCCGTCTGTCTGAATTTTGAGGGCTGGTGCTGCCTTTTACTAGCTATGTGACTTAAGTCACGTCACCTCTCTAAGCCTCAATTGGTTCATCTGTAAAAATGGAGATCCCCAGAGCACTGGTAAGATTAAAGGTTAAGTGGGCATGTAATGGGCCTGATGCCCAGTGGGTGCTCAAGTAAGAGTTAATTTTCCTTCCTTGCCTGTGGTCCTATCACCTGTCCTCAGCAGGGTGAGAAACAAAAGGCGAGAGGAAGTCACCTCGCCTAGGGCTTTGTACAAGAACTTTTGATCGAGTACCAAAACAGTACAAAAAGAAGCCTCTACTCTCCAAGCAGGGCCTCCTACCCTGGTAATTTTCATTGTAACCAATCTGACAAGACCTATGGCATGGCTTAACGGTTTCTGGAAACTTCCTGGGGTCTGGGCCCTGATGGGCTGGTGTTTGTCAGAATGGTTCAAACCACCACCCTATCCGCATCCCTGCCATAGACACCCACCAACCCTGCCTGCCCAAAAACCATACGGAGAAGCCACCCTATGTGTCTGGTGCTATTTCATCCCGCTACAAGCAGGAGCCAGGAGGCCGGCCCCTCCAGGATCTCACTAGGGCCACCATGCCCCCTCCACAGCCCTCACTGGCTCCAGATGGGCCATCATGAAAGCTTGAGCTGCCCGGATCAGGTCCTCTTCCCGTAGGCCTGGGACAGGCACGGTGGGGATGCCAGCGATCATCATGGCCAAGGTAAGGATGCAGATGTCGGGCTGGGAGCCGGCCTCTTTCACTCCTGTCTCAGAGGGCAGCCCACACAGCAGCAGGGGCCCAGGCCTGCTGGGGCCGCCCAGGTAGGGAGCTCTGCTTCTGGAGCAGCCATCCTCCCAGCCCAGGCTCTCCGGCTGCCTCGCGTGGGGGAATTTGTGGCAGTACCGGCTGTACTCCTTCCGCCGCAGTGGCTCCCAGCTAGCCCCCCCAGGGCAGCCCCTGGCTTCTGGCACTTCAGGCACTGGTGTCGCCTGCTCAGCTTTCTGGCTCAGTGGGCCTTGTCCACCAGAGGCCACCACCACTGGCTCTACAGGACTATAGAGGCCAAGGGATGAGCCCAGAGAAGCAGCCCCACCTGCAGAGACAGGAATGGGATGGAATGTTATTCTTGGTCTCTTTGCGGAGGAGGCCCTGAGGGGCAGGGCGTAGGAGCAGAGCACTGGGATCAGGGGCAATTAAGACCAGCCCAAGAGGGCTGTCCAGTGGTTGGGAATTAGGTTTTACTCATAGCCACAGCCCCAGTCAGTCTCTAATGCAGACAGGTGATGGAGAAGTGTCTGCTGAACGAGTGAATGAGCAAGTGGGTGGCTGTTGGCAAGGACTTCTGGAATAGCTTTCTTCCAAGAGAATTGACTCCAGGTCCAGCCCAAAAATGCCCAGCAGAACCTCCACCTCCCCAGAGCCAGGAAGCAGGTTCTCAGGGGAGGTTGTAGTACACCCTCCAGTTCCAGGAGCCCCCTCTCACCTTGGCCGGAAGGCGGAAGACCTGGATGAGTTTGTGGAGACATGAAATAGGACATGGCTGCTCTGAAGCCCCTGTTTGTGAGGGGACAGTCGTCTGCCTTCTGTCCTACCCTCTCCGCCCTTCTAGAATGTCACCTCATAGTCCCTCCCTTTTACACCTGGAACCCGGCTCACTGGCATTGACCTGTTCATTCTAGAACGTGTACATGACAATGGATGGGGTTAAAAGAGCACTGGACCGGGAACTGGGCATTCTAGGTTCTTGCCTTTACCTTGGGCAAGTCACCTGGACAGTTTTGTTCCTTGACATCCTCAGCTGTAAGATGAGGGTAATGACTGCCCACTACCTCACCAGAAGTTATGAGGGTCAAATAAGATCATGTGTATGGAAGCAAATGATCAGCGATACAATAAAAGGAGTCTGATGCTTTGTGCCTTGTAGGGTGAGAGAAGGAATACTCTGCATTCATTCATTTGCTGTGTGACCTTGGACAAATACATTCCCATCTCTGGGCTTCAGGTTCCCATCTGTGAAATGAAGTACTTGGTCTAGGGCACTGGTTCTCATCCCGAGCTGCACATTAGATGCTCTTGGAAGCTTTTAGAAATCCTGATGCCCAGACTTATCCCAGGGTCAATTAAATCATAATCCCCGTTAGTATTTTTTCAAAGTTCCTCAAGTGGTTATAACATGTGCCAAACTTGAGACCTCTGTTCTAGGGAAATGCTTCTCAATCCTGGCTGTACCTTAGAATCTCTAGGGGAGCTTTTACAAAAACAATGTCTAGCCCTCATCCTTTGACAAATCAAATGAGAATCTCCAGAGATGGCGTCTGGGGCGCCAGCAATCTAAGTATCCCAGATAATGAGTAGCCAGGCTAGGAACCACTGGTCTAGGTGATATCAAAATGCTCTCTCATTCTCTCATCTACCCTGCTGACCCCCAGTGATTCTAAAAGAAGTGGCCCTCACAGGCTTCAGGGGCAAGGAGGCCCTCCAAGGATCAGCATCAGCAACGACTGTGTTTATTTCCATCCTGGCTGGTATCAGTATGGCCAGCTTCAGGGCAGCCACACCTCTGGGGCCAGGATGCATTCACGTGGCCGTGCTCCAGGGTGGCCGCAGGCCTTCACTCATACTTGCAGAAATCCTTAAGTCCTTTGGGCAGCTGGAGCCCATCAATGGCCAACCGGTGCACCACACTCCTCTGGATCACTAGGCGGCACAGAGTCTGCAGGGACGGCACTGTGGAAAGAAGGCTGTCAAAGGCAAAAGGAATGGGAGGGTTGGGCCGAGGCTGAGACCTAGATCTAGGTCTTGGTCCCCTCTTTGTCGTTAACTTGGGCAAGTCCCTTCACTCTCCAGGCCCAGCCTGGCATGGGGCTATTCACAGGATTGAGATAAGCACCTCTTTCGCAACACTTTCCCAGTTCTGCAGCCCTATTTCCATTATAGCACCCATCCTGCTCCCCTCCCCCTCGCTTAGCAGCTTCTGGGGTCAGGGGTGGCATCTGATTTACCTGTGCAACCCCCAGCCTCCTGCACAGGCCCGACACAGAGAGGGTTCTCATTCACTGTATTCATAAAATGTCATCAGATGGATAAATAAAAGGCTTTAACAGGGCTATCATGAACCAGACCTCAGGATTAAGAAGCTCTCACATGGGGTTTAAAAGTGATGCCTTTAAACTGGTATGCCCAAATCGATGAGCATTTGTCTAATAAAAGAGCACATAATTCTCAAAGAGGACCAAAATCTAAAATCGGTGTAGAATTCATGCCCTAGGTTAATGCAGAAAATATTGGCAAAGCCAGAAAGGGAGTTAGAGGGCATCCTAATCGATCACAGCCAAGATGGGTAAATTGAGGCCCAGAGCCAGGGAAAGTGACTTGTCCAAGGTCACAAGTAGAGGCAGAATCTGAAGTCAGATTCCCCAGCTTCTAAAATAATGCTGGAGAAACCAAGGCCTTGCTACCTGTTTCAAGAGTCCTAGCAGGTTCCTGTCCCAACACTGGGCCAGGAGGGGTCACTGCCCAGGGTGTGGGATACCTACAGCCATACTCGACCTGGACCAGGCGCACGCTCTTGGTGGAAGCGAAGACGTCCACCACCGCGTAGAGGGGCTGGGCGGCTGGCAGCCCCCGGGCGCTGGGGCCCATGTCCTCGCCGTTGATGACGATATGCATGTCAGCCGTGCCGTCGGGGCGCGGGCAGAAGAGAACGCCCAGGCGGCTCCGGCGCGCAGTAGGAGGCAGCATGTTCAGCTCATAGAGCTGGTCCAAGAGGTGGCTGTACAGCCCAGGACGGCTGCGGCCCACCAGGCGGTCGCGGGGAATGCGAAACTGCTCAATGCACAGATGCGGTTCCACCAGGAGGGCTGGGGGGCAGCTGGGGGCCAGCGCCTCCGCCTCCGGGCGGCCCTCCCGGGGCACGCGGTTGTGATGGCGCGTGATGGCGAAGACCCAGGTGTGGCCGAGGCTGACCAGGTCGGGCAGCGAAAACTCGGGCACGGCGGCCAGACTGGAGGGGTCCAGCGCAGTCAGGCCGAGGCGCAGGTGCCCGCACCAGCCCAGCTCTTTCTCCTCGATCTCCACCAGGAACACCTGGCCGGGGGCCAGCGGCTCGCGACTGAAGCACACGCCGTGGGCGAAGCTCTCCACGCGTGTGGCCCGCGTCCCGGAGGGGTCCACGCGGATGTTGGCACCGTGTACCGGGTGGAAGCGGGTGGGAGGGGGCTCGGGGCGCGCGGGTCCCCAGGGCGCACCCAATTCCACGGGGTCGGAGGCAGCAGCCATCTCCCAGCCATAAGGCAGGCCAGCGGGCGCCGGGGGCTATTTTGGGCAGCGGGCTCAGATGGTGACCGCGGGGGCACCATGTAAGGTACTTCTCCCCTGACTCCCTTCCCCGAGGCTCTGCCCAGGGGTCCTAGCGCCGCTTGCTCAGCCATCCCGCTTAGAACGGAGTCCCCGGGAGGCTGGGGGATCCTGGCCATCCACACCTGGGTCATCTGACCGCCGGCGCCCGGGATACGACCTGCGAGGCCCACGGACCTTCACCTGGTTTGACCGCCGCCGCCACCGCCCCCTCCGTCTTCCGGGTGTTCGGGGACGTGGGGGCAGGATGGGTAGGAGGAAGACTGTCACATGACGCTGGAGCACACGTGACTCGGAGTACACATGACTTCCCGTCGCGGGCCACCTCCGGGAGAGCAAGGACGCGAGGGAGCAGAGGTGAGGGCAATCCGGAGGCTGGAAGAGATCCCGGAGGCTGGAAGGGATCCAGGAGCCCCCGGGGCGGGGCGCGGCGCGGCGGAGGAAGCTCAGCGGGTGGGAGCTGGGCCTGGGCCTGGGCTTCCCTCGCTGATGAGCCGCCAGCTCTTCCCCAGGGGCGGCTGAGCAGCGAGCGAGCGAGTAAACAGCCGGCACCCGCTTCCTGCCGCAGATGGTCCGAGCCGCGCTGTCGCCGCCATTCCTCCTGCTGCTGCTGCTGCTCTCCTGGGCACCCCGAAGCGAGGCAGCCCCCGACCAGGACGAGGTCCAGTACCTGCCAGGGCTGGCCAAGCAGCCGTCTTTCCGCCAGTACTCTGGCTACCTCAGAGGCTCCGGCTCCAAGCACCTCCACTACTGGTCTGCAGCCCTGCCTTCCAGGGCGGGGTTGGGAGGGACACTGCGATGCCCACCGGGGGAGTTCTTTTTTTTTAAATATAAATTAATTTTATTTATTTACTTATTTTGGCCGTGTTGGGTCTTCGTTGCTGCGCGCGGGCTTTCTCTAGTTGCGGCGAGCGGGGGCTACTCTTCGTTGCGGTGCGCGGGTTTCTCATTGCGGTGGCTTCTCTCGTTGTGGAGCACAGGCTCAAGGCGCGCGGGCTTCAGTAGTTGTGGCTCGTGGGCTCAGTAGTTGTGGCTCGCGGGCTCTAGGGCGCAGGCTCTGTGGTTGTGGCTCACGGGCTTAGTTGCTCCGCGGCATGTGGGATCTTCCCGGACCAGGGATCGAATCCTTGTCCCCTGCATTGGCAGATGGATTCTCAACCACTGCGCCACCAGGGAAGCCTGGGCGTGGTGGTGGTGGTGGTGGTGGGGTGTTCTTAAGAGCCCTGAAGGAGCCTGGGAGCAGGGAGGGCTGGAAGGAGCCCTCCCCCCACCTGCACCCATCCTAGCCTGACTCCCTCCCAGGTTTGTGGAGTCCCAGAAGGATCCCAAGAGCAGCCCTGTGGTGCTGTGGCTCAATGGAGGGCCGGGCTGTAGCTCCCTAGACGGCCTCCTCACCGAACACGGTCCCTTCCTGGTGAGTGTAAAGCAGCTCAGTAACCCCTGGTAAGGGGCAGGGAGGGGACGGTTCCCAAAGGAAAGAAGCGGGGAAGAAGGAGAAAAGGACTTTGTGATCTTCTGAAGATGTGTCCGTTTCCTGAGCCTCAGTTTCTCCATCTGTACCATTGGCTTGACTATTATTAGTACCTTTCAGAAATTTTGCCCGATTGTACAGTACTCAGCACGGTGGACCCTTCCCTACCCCCAGCTGGCTCTCGGGACTTAGCCATCTCTTTCCTCCGCAGATCCAGCCAGATGGTGCCTCTCTGGAGTACAACCCCTATTCCTGGAACCTGGTATCGCAGCCTCTGTGGGTCCTGTGGGGGTGTCTGGGCACTGGGATGGGGTGGGGATCCCTCCTTAGCCCGTTTCCACTTCCCCTGTAGATTGCCAATGTGTTATACCTCGAGTCCCCAGCTGGGGTGGGCTTTTCCTACTCCGATGACAAGTCTTATGCAACCAATGACACCGAGGTGAGTCCGCTGCCTGCCCACGTGCCCCAGCCTTGCTGGGTGGCATGATGCGGGGAGAGAAAGAGCATGCCCTTGGAGTCCATCCGTGGCTCTGTTGCGTGCTAGGTGGTGTGGTTCGGACAAGTCACATCCTGTTGCACAAACAGGGTGCGTTGGTGTCATTATCTCTGAGATTCTTTCTAGCTCAAACACCAACACTTCCCGATTCCCTCCATCCTGCCATCCCCAGGTGGCCCAGAGCAATTTTGAAGCCCTTAAAGATTTCTTCCGCCTCTTCCCGGAATACAAGGACAACGAGCTTTTCCTGACGGGAGAGAGCTATGCCGGCATCTACATCCCCACCCTGGCAGTGTTGGTCATGCAGGACCCCAGCATGAACCTTCAGGTGCAGGGAGGCTGCAGGAGGGAAGGGAGGCATCTTGGGGTCATGGCCTTGTGGTTAGCAAAGGTCAAACAGGTCAGCGCCTCCATTCCAACCCAGTCTTCCTTCATAACATTCCTGCCACTAGCTGGCCTCTCCCCGGCCTGTGTGCCTTCCACAACAGGGAACCTACTCCTCAAGCTGCCAGCTCCATTCTTTACGTTGA